AGACTATCACCTCCCCATGCGATATATTTAGGTGTTTTGTCAAAAATATATGTATGTATGTAGATGTATGTAGATGGGTTAATTTCTGGATTCTCAATTCTGTTCCATTGATCTATGTATCTTTTATTGTACCAGTGCCAAGCTGTTTTGATCACTGTAGCCGTGTAGTAAATTTTGAAGTCGGAAAGTGACAGGCCTCCAACTTTATTCTTCTTCTTAAACAGTGTTTTGTTTATTCTGGGGTCTTTCCTTTCCATATAAAGTTTGTAATTGTTTTTTCCATGTCTTTGAAGAATGTCATTGGGATCGCATTATATGTGTAATTGCTTTGGGCAGTACTGACATTTTCACAATGTTAAGTCTTCCTATCCAGGAGCACGGTACATTCTTCCATTTTTGTAAGTCTTTTTTGGTTTCTTGTAGTAGTGTTTTGTAGTTTTCTTAGTATAAGTCCTGTTTCTCTGGTTACATTTATTCCTAGATATTTCATCCTTTAGGTGGTTATTGTAAATGGTATTGCTTTCCTAATGTCCTTTTCAATGCTGTCATTTTTGGTATAGAGGAATCCAACTGATTTTTGTATGCTGATCTTATATCCTGCCACTTTGCTGAATCTTTCAATGAGGTCTACTAGCTTTTTTACTGAGACTTGGGTTTTCTACACATAGGATCATATTGTCTACAAATAGGGAGACTTTTACTTCCTCTTTGCCAATTTCGATGCCTTTAATTTCCCTGTCTTGCCATATAACTCTTGCTAAGAAAGACTTCCAGCACAATATTGAATAGGAGTGGTGACCAAGCGCATCCTTGTCTGGATCCTGTTTGCAGAGGTAAGATTTTCAGTTTCTCTCCATTGAGAGTAATGTAGGCTGTTGGTTTTGTATACCTGCTCGTAATTATGTTGAGGAATTTCTCTTCAATTCCTATTTTGTTGAGTGTGTTTATCAGGAATGGTTGTTGGATTTTGTCAAATGCCTTTTCTGCATCAATCGATATGATCATGTGGTTCTTTTCCTTTTTCTTATTTATATGGTGCATTATGTTGATAGTTTTTCTAATGTTGAACCATCCTAGCAATCCTCATACGGTTCCCACTTGGTCATTATGTATTATTATTATTACTGATGTGCTGTTTCATTCTCTTGGCTAGGATTTTGTTGAGAATTTTTATATCCATGTTAATGAGGTATATTGGGCTATGATTTTCTGTCTTAGTGATGTCCTCAGGATTTGATATGAGGGTTATACTTACTTCATAGAATGTATTAGGAAGTTTTCCATCCTTTTCTAGATTCTGGAATAGCTTGAGAAGAACTGGTGACAGCACTTTCCTGAATGTTTAGTAAAACTCACCAATGAAGCCAACTGGACCTGGACTTCTTTTGGTTGGGAGTTTTTTGATGACATGGCCAATTTCTTCTTTTGCTATGGGTCTGTTCAAATTTTCTACTTAACTCCATGTAAGTTTAGGTAGGTGTTACTTTTCTAAAAATACATCACCTCTCGGTTTTCAAATTTGCTGGAGTACAATTCTTTGTAATATTCTCTTATTATCCTTTTTATTGGTTTCATTGTGACATCACCCATGTGGTTTCTTATGTGTGTTATTTGTGTCTTCTCCTCCTTTTCTTTACTTAGGTTTGCCATTGTGTTGTCGATTTATGAATCTTTTAGAAGAACCAGCTTCTTGTCCTGTTTATTCTTTCTATAGTTTTTCTGTTTCCTATCTTTTTTATTTCTGCTCTAACCTTTATTATTTATTTTCTTCTGGTGACTGTAGGTTTATTTTGCTGGTCTATTTCTAGTTGTTGGAGGTGGTGTGTTAATGTGTTGATTTTGGCTCTTTCTTCTTTTTGGATGTGTGTCCATTATCTCTTAATTCCATTTTCCACAAACTTTTTGAAGTACCTACGTATGTATTTATAACTGCATGATAATAAAGAGTCTTAAATATCACCATCAAGCTGAAACTGTATTCTTAATAATGATAGGTAAAAGAATAATTGCTACATGACCCTTAAACTGTCATCAAAACATTAAAAATTCCCTTGTTGTTGATCATAAATCAATAGACAAAATGAGACATAATTCTTAGGGAATTAACTTCAATGTCCAATACATTGAAACACTGCCCAATTCTGCATCATGATTGCTGGAGTATTTGAATTCATCCCTTCAACTCTGCCAGTCCATCTCATCAAGAATCTCCTATACCCTTGTTTGTCTTTCAGCAACTGATCACTTCAGATTTGTGTCCAAAGTAAGTAAATTGGACAGTGCTCTGTTCTGATCCATGAGGCTTACACTGGCTAATTTTTGCACGCTGATTGTCAAATCTTTCTTCCTAGTTTGTATTAGTCTGTACACTTAGTTGAAACCTGTTCCCCAATTGACTCTACTGGTATTTGAAATACTGGTGGCAAAGTTACTTGCATCATACAAATTGCAATCTACTTTACTATGGCAAACTGACAGACAGCATTAGCTAAGATAAGCATTGGACTATTAGTTACAAGGTAGGCAGTTCAAACCCATCAGTCACTTCTCAGGAACATTATGCACGGTCACTGTGAGTCAGAACCAACTTGATGGTACTTAACAACAACAACTGAAAACATTAGAGATGTTGAACATAAAAGTGCTTTATTTGTAAATATATATACCAAGTGTAGTTTGAACAATGCCTTCCTCTTCTTTTAATCATATAACTTACAATATGGAATAGGTAGCATTTTTTCTATGCCTTGGTAGACTGGCATATTCTGTCCCAAATTTGGACCAATTTCCAACATTTTATCCTTTGCATTTAGGATGCTGTAAAATATCTCAAAAGAATTCCTTTAATGTGAATATTTTACCAGCATCATTTCATCTGGGATGCCTTCACTCTTTTGGTCACAACCACTTTCGACATTTATGTTGATAGGTTCTTAAAGGTCCTCTGGCTGCAGATGAAAGGAAGGTGGCAGCGCCAACATTCTACTCTCTGTCTTCTATCACTCCATTTACTTTCCACTTCCAGAGCTATCACAGCTTTGTTTCTTTGTTGCACTTTCATCTTTGTTGTCCAAGTCCCTCTTATTGATTATCCATTTTTATAAAATTCCATGTGGGTTTATTAAAGAAAGGCAAGGATGCAACACAAATATACATTCTTCCATATGCATAAACTGAATAATGCACGTGTAGTGATCAATCACTGATAGACTTTGAAAGATGTACCATGACGGGCACTGATCTGATATGTACACAGTGATTGGTGGATTGAAGCACTAGCAAGTAAGTCTGTACTTCATGCAATTACTCATAGTTAACGTATCAGAGAATGTAAATTTGAATCATGTTGCTAAGGGACCAGTGCTATTTAACTAAACATGGTAACTTGAATTTCTGTATAGTGGAAATCATGCAAAGTGAGGACTACCTGTAATGTAGTGTCCTGACTTGTGTGAATTCTCCCATTCAATGCTAGTAGTATTTGGAGAGGATGGCAAATTAATAATTTCTTTGGCTTTGTTTATGTGAGTTTTCAGTAACTTTCTCTATAAATTTCAAGACTTAGGTGGGGAAGAAATCAACTTTCCTATGATTGCCACTTAAATTCCAGGAACAAAAGAAGTATCAAAGATTACTGAGGCAAATAGAGGAAAAATGCAAAGGCCATGCTGAAGGACTTTAACATGGAAGTGATAGAGAGCCAAGGAAGTACTTTAAGAGGAAAGTAACATGTTCTGATTTACATCTTTGAATAATATTTTCAATAGCTGTTGTGACTGGACTGCAATGGAGGCAGTGAAGAAGACAGACACCAGCTAAGCAATAAAATGGGTCCAGTTTAAGTTAGTAACTGTAGGAAAAGAAAGATGCAGAAGGATTCTATAGGTCTTAAGGAAGCAGAATTAAAAGAACGTTGTGACCACTTCTGGATACTACAAGTGACTCAAAGTTTTCTAGCTTGGACAACTGGGTGGTTACACTAAATGAGATACTGAATAAATGAGGTCAAATTTGAGGCAGAAAAATGATAAATAAAATTTTTTTAAGATTTTGAGTTTGAATGGAATATGATCCACAGCATGATATTCCCTGCCTGAGATCAGAATGACATTACTGTGTTTTGGTCTTGAGATAGACAACTCATTGTAATTAATTGGGTAGGGGGTTGACGGCACTACTTTCCACCCAGCATAAGCAGACAATCAATGAGCAGCCTCTGATTGTATGGTAGGTTATTGTCTATGACAGTGCTATAAATCCATTATATTTAGGTGTCTAAACAAAACATATCTAAGAATCTAAACAAAAAATTCACGGAATATAGCCAGGACTTGAGGCACACAAAGTGGCAAATGACGTAACTTACTGGGCTTTCTGTTTCTGCTTCATGACCTAAGAAACAGGTTTCAAAATGAATATAAATAGCCCCATGAGAGTGGCTGGGGGAAAGCAGCTGCAACAGAGAACTTGACTCTCACCAAATTCTAGCATTTGGTTGGTTGGTTACATGCCGTGGAGTCAGTTTCAACTTCATAGAGACCCTGTATAGGATTTCCGAGGCTGTAAATCTTTAAGGGAGCAGAAAGCCTTATTTTTCTCCTACAAAACAGCTGGTAGTTTCAAACTGTAACTACCCAACTCATAACCACCAGAGCATATATCCTAGAATATGTCCAGGCCACCCACCGCTAGGTACTACTGGAGTTCTTCATTATGGTCACAGGTCCAAATATTTAATATAAAAGACCATAAAACCCACTTTTTACTGTTTTCCAAATTTAAAAAGAAAAATATCAAAATAACTTTTCGCTTACATGGAAGAATATCTCGGTATCTGTTTTTGTCTCTATTGGATGGTTCATTCCCACAGCTGAACTCATCAGAAGGACCCTCATATTCTAAATCCTTAAAAGGGTAAGAAATATAAATCATGTATTTACTATAACCAAAAAAATAAATAAAAATCTACCTTTGTTAGTGTTCATGATCTTTAAATCTCTATATACTAAACATATTGCATAATAAACAAATAAATTAGAACCCAACTAAAATAGTACTATATAAATAATCTCAAATTTGCAATTCCATCCAAAAAATGGTTTGTTTATACTAAACACTCTGGATATACTTTTCCCCTTGAATAGCATTATATTTCATTTCTCATTTTTAAAAAGAGGTAGTAAGACATATTTACTTCTTTTAGGATTTCTACTTACCTATAAAACTATCATTTAATGAACAAATATAAAAACAACAGGAAGAAAACACATAAACTGAATAACACAAGTAATTTCACAGTGTACCCCTTATCTTATGAAGAAATTACAGTTAGGAGGTTGATGAAAGAATTGTTCTTGTCAAAATAATTATTTAATAATTAAAATTCAACATTTACTGAGCATTTAGCATGTATCTGGCACTGTTTCAAATACTGAATACAAATATGAAACAGAAATGGTCTAAAGAGACATATATGCAATCGAATACCATGTGATCACTGAGTCAGAACTGACTCAATGGCAGTGGGTTCCGTTTGAGCATTCTGGTTGTTGCTGGATGCCATCCAGTCGATTCCAACTTCTAGCAAGTCCATGTAACAGAGGAGAACTGCACCATAGGGTTTCCTAGGTTGTAATCTTACAGGAACAGATCACCAGATCATTCACTGGTGGAGTCTCTTGGTGAGTTTGAACCACCAACCTTGCAGTTAGCAGCTGAATGCTTAACCATTGTGCTACCACACATTTATAAATCACTGTTGCTGTTGTTGTTAAGTACTATAGAGCAGTTCTGACTTGAATTTCTGAGGATCAGCTGTTAGGTTTGAACTGCCAACATTGCGGTTAGCCGTCCAGTGACATCAGTACCAGGGTTCCTTATAAATGACTGTTGTTAAGTGTCATTGAGTTGGTTCTAACTCATAAAGACCCTATGTAGCATTTCCAAGGAGTGACTAGTGGGTTTGAACCACCGACCTTGCAGTTAACAGACCAGTGCTTATCCTATAGCACCACACAAAGACTCCTATAAATGACTGTTGTTGTTTTAAAGTGCTGTTGAGACCACTCCAAACCATGGCGACCCTGTATAGGGTTTCCAAAGAGCAGCTGGTAAACTTGAACCATCGACCTTGCAGTGTAAACAACTTTGCAGTCTGGTGCATTAGCCCACAGTGCCACACCAAAAAATAGGTTACTGTAAATGACTAACGTAAATGATTACTTCATAGCTGATACATGAAGGAAGTAACATTTGAACTAGGCCTTAGTGAATCATTGCAAGTTAGTCATATGAAAAGTGAGTGTGTGAACAAACAAAAGAGGACTAATTAATCCAAGAAAGTACAGGGGTACCTTAGGCCAAACTAAATTCTAGCTAGATGATTTCTTTAAAAGTTTTAAAACAAATAATAAAAGCATTAGAAAAAACATAAAACAGAATAGTTTCTATGAACCTAGAAAGAAGGGGGCATTCCTAAAGAATACAGAAAATCCAGAGGCAACAAAAGAAAAGACTGACATATTTGACTACTAAAAATTATTTATTTCTTCATGGTAAACGTGTGTATGTGTACATGTTTGCATGTACACTTGAGAAATATAAACAGCAAAGTAGCAAAAATTATCATATATAAAACATATGTTGTTGTTAGGTTCTGTCGAGTCAGTTCTGACTCATAGTGACTCTATATACGGTTTCCAAGGAGTGGCTGGTGAGCTTGAACCACCAACCTTGAAGTTCAAACAACCTTGCTGTCCAGTGCATTAATCACAACACCATACCAAGACTCTAAAAATCTTTTGGTAATTTTCCTTATTACAAAAAGATTTACTGTTAATCAATAAGAAATACATTAAAAATTGGGCAAAGAACAGCAGCACTCAGTTCACTGCAAATAAATATGAAAGCCTGAGAAACAAAAAAAATATTCCTTTTCTGTTACATTAACAAATGCAATTTGATCAACAACAAAATTTAACCTATCAGCTGAGAGATACAAAAAGATATGAAATTTAGCCATATGGAATAAATACAGTTATACTTCTAGGAATGTTCCCTAAAGAATAATCACGTGTATGTATAAGAATATGAAGAGGGAAGATCACTGTTCATAATAGCAAAGATTAAAGCGACTTAAATATTCATCAAAGGCAACTATTTATAAGGTATATCCACAAGAAAAGCCAGTGAGGATCAAACAGAAGAATTCTACCAACGTCTTTAATCTGAAATTGATCAAACATGCAGTAAAGATGTATTGATCATTACTAGTGATTGGAATGAAAAGGTTGGGAGCAAAGAGGACGAATCAGTAATTGGAAAATATGGCCTTGGTGACAGAAATGATGCTGGAGAATGCATTATAGAATTCGGCAAAACCAATGATTTGTTCATTTCAAATACCTTCTTTAGACAGCATAAGTTACAACTATACACATGGACCTCGCCAGATGGAATACATAGAAATCAAACTGACTACATCTGAGAACAGAGACAATGGAAAAGCTCCATATCATCAGTCAAAACAAGGCCAGGAGCAGACTGTGGAACAGTCATATGCAAATTCAAACTGAAGCTGAAGAAAATAAAAACAAGTCCATGTGAGCCAAAATATGACCTTGAATATATCCGATCTGAATTTAGAGATCATCTGAAGAACAGATTTGATACATTAAACACTTAAGACCTAAGCCCAGATGAGTTGTGGGATGACATCAAGCACATCATACATGAAGAAAGCAAGAAGTCATTAAGAAGACAAGAAAGAAGGAAAAGGTCAAAATGGATGTCAGAAGACACACT